TATATATATATATATATATATATATATAGTGTTTATGACATGCCTGTAATCTGTATAGTGTGAAGACTGTTGTACATACGTTTAACTTGTTCCGAATATATATACATATATTATTGTGAAAACAAGTGCATGCTATTTATTTATCATTAACAAGTCACAGACATCTACTGTAGAAGAATCCTAAGCCCAACAACAACATAGTATATATTTACACTATTAAGAAATATATGTAAAAACCTTTTATTTTGACAAATGGCAAAGAATAATATTTTAAATTCTGACACACTATGACACTGGTGTGCAAATTTCATACATATTCACTGTGATTAAACAAAGGTCCCTGAATGAATGCACATGAAACATATTTATATGTCTTGTAATAATATTACATTTTTTAATAACTAAATAGTTAGAACTGAAGTAAGTTCAAGTAACATACTTTATTAAAATATTATGTCACTCTTAGTTAGACATTAATCAATTATATAAAGCTTTATTTCCAAAAGAAAATATGAAAAATTATAAGGATGATATTTTTGATATTTTACTTTTTATGTAGAATTCTGTAAAAGATTCACTAAAAACAAGATTTGCTTTTTTAACAAACATGGTTGATTATTTTCCAAGTTACTCACCATGATCCCAGACATTTCGATCACATTCAATGCAGGTTGCCTCCTGAAGAGGGCAGGCACAAGCATGAGTGGTAAGGCACTTTCGACTATGACAAACCCAAGCTTCACAGAAATCACAAATAGCACCCTGAGAGTAGATATTTGGTATTTTAACACTTTACATTAATAAAGTGCGTAAAAAGCAGTTGTACAGAAATATACATGTAAAGCTAATATATGCATGAGTTTAAGAAGAAAATTTTCACAACAAATATAACATTGTAATAAAATAACACAATATCATTTGCAGCAGTTAAAAAAAACACAGTCAGTGGAGAAAACTATCAGAAGACTTAAAATTAAATGAACTAGTTTCAGGACATTCATGTCCTGTTCAGAAGGCAACACGAGACATGCATAACTAGTTTCTTAAATTTCAAGTTTTCTGATGGTTTGTTCCATTGACTGTGCTTTTTTCACTAACTTTCTAAACATGACATTGGTCATCTGAAAACCTAAACAAGGATGATTACAAGATCCTGAAAATTCTCAAGTAAGAGCTTGTCTAAAAGTGAAATATATAATCAACAATTACATACTGTACGTACGAGGACCATTTTCCATAAAAAATATATGAATTTAAATATAAAGACACATCCATATTTATTACGTGTTTTGTCTTTTAATTTCTAGACAAGAAATATATAAAAGTGAGCTTAATACATATTTTACATCATAAGGGATACAGCAGTTTGTAAAGATTGGAAACTGCTTCTAACCATGTAAATATTTATGAGACTAAATGTACAAAATTAAGAGTAATAAATATTTTTATTTCTTGTTTTTGAAGTTCATATGTCATGCTGTGTTGTAGCCTACCGACTGCATAATTCTTCTCGTGAATCACTGACGTTATGACAGTACAAATTGCAATGTTAAGCATTCCTTCTGTGATGTCATTTTAGTGCACACTAACTGACTGACAGACAACACATTACTGTATAGTGGTGGCAGTGGTTAAAACAGGTGACCCCTCCAGGTGGCCTTCTGGGGAAATAAGTCACTCCCAGTATAAGCTTTACAATGCTTCATCAGGAAAAATTAAGTTGAACTTTTTATATTTAAGAATTTGTGATAAATGTTAAAAAAGTAAAATTCCATAATAAATAATTAAACATCCTTTGCAAAGCTCATGTCTTTAACTGTATGTACTAAGTGTTGGTTCAAGCTAGTTTACTGTATTGTTTCCTGTAAAAACTAAAGCAAACTTACTACCATTCCCAACCCAGTGCTGTACACACCAGGATGCTTTACTACACAATCTCCTGTCTTCAACAAACATTTTGTTTTACCTGTAAAAAAAAAATATGTGGTTCTCTTAGTTCACGAGCATATTCATCACAATTTGCACACACATACACTCCATTACATAATACTTAACATTTCCTACAAAACTTGCTACTAACGTAAAGGAATGTGGAAGAAGAATATAGATGTCAAATATTTCAACATTAATGCTTTCAACCCACTTCTATCCTTTTGATAAACAGGTTTCTAGGACATCTACCTATTCTATTTTCTAGCACATTTAGTATTTACCTTCTTTGTTTCACCCCAACAACAGTTATATACTAAGCTAAAATTATCAAAACAAGTTAAATTATGAATTTACTTGGTACATTCTCAATTTACAACACTAAAGAGCATATTATTTGACTAAATATATCAAAACTAACAGATGTAAGTTGTATGTGTGTGTATACATCTAACACAACCATATCTATCAGTGCTCAAATATACAATCTAAATTCAGTTTAATCTGACTTTGAAGCTCTTCTTCATTGAGTTCAACCACCCTTTTATGACCTACCACTTCAACCCAGTATGTTCTTTTGGGGCTATATCGTATATATATATATATTTATTCTATTTTAGAATGTTTTCAAGTAAAATACAGGTTGTACAAGTGACAAGTACTACATAATATGAAGTGGCTGTAACTAAATTATTTGAAAGACATTACACAGTAGATTTAGTATTTGTGATTCTACAGATATGAACTTACCACATTGAGCACATATCGGAAGTCGCTGAAGAGCTGAACAAAAATAGCAAAATGCTCTTGTCTTCTGTCGTCTTAAAAATGTTAACCAAAATTACTTTAACAAATGAAATTAAACATTGTAGAGAGTTATTTGACAATTCAGTAAAATCTACAATATTAACAATTTAATCTATTAATTTAGTATCATTAAATCTAACAGAAGAAACCATGAATATTCTAAATTTTAAAAAATTATATATCTTAAAACAACTGATATAATGAAGAAAAATTTTAAAACATCAAGTATCGAACCTTTTAAATTTTATTACTTTACAATAAGATTGTGATCAAATCCAGAAAAAAGAGGAGGGCTTAATATAGTTTTATAGCTTAAAATATAAAATGAAGTTTTGTACATGTATGTCACCAATGTACATTTATAATGAAATTTTTAACTAATCATTATAACGTAGTTTTCTAGCCCACCAATATAAAATTGTTTTCTCAATACTCAATAAAATGTTTCATAATACTGTTTGGTAAGCATTTTTGTACTTTAATAATATCTATATTACATAAATACAGAATAATTCTGACAATTTGTCAAAACAATGTACCTAATTAAACAGTTCTCATTCATAAATATTTTACAAGGCCCAAAAGAATTGATGAATGTTTGGCTATGAATGAAAGAAACAGTTATTTAACCAAATATCATAAAATTTCATTCCAATTTGAAAATAAAAACAAGTATAACTGTATCTGTTCATTGTTGAGAAACATAAACTTTAATGCTTATACATATACTGTTCAATAATTATGAAATTAAGTTACTACCTAGAAGTATGTTTTATTAATTACAATAAAACCTAGCATGTGTATAAGCTTGGTTTTTTGTTAGTGTTACTTCCAATCATACTCCAATGTCAATACGAAAAACTTATACTTTTCCAAATAACAGAAATTAGTATTAAAAGTAGTTCATTAAAATTACAGGGGTTAGATAGAAATATTAGAAAAAGCAACCAAAAATCACTTAATAAGGTGAAGATCCACTACAAGCAACCAAAACACCATGAATTTGATGGAGCAATAAGGATAACTCTTGAATATTTGTGAAGATATACAACGTTAGTTTTTAATTTTCGAAGAGATGAAGGAAATGGAAATTGACTGCAAAGTTTGTCTTCAAGAATGGAGCAGATTGGGGATTTAATGCAGACAACATTATATGTCTCAAGCTATTCTTTAATTATGCATGTGGCACATGTATGGGTGCATTATCATACTGAAACTACCTATTCCTATCAAAATAATAAAAGTACATCACGGGTAATAACTGATCTCCAAACATCTTCAGATAGAAATAAAGGACCAAGAACATGCAAACCCCAGGCTATAAATGAACACCAACTCCTTTGACAGTAAGAATCATTGCTGTTTCTGCTATACACAAACATGCCCATTCCATGTGAAAGGAGTCCTACAGTCACTTATGTTACTATGGTCTTCATATTTCTATGCATTCCAACATAATGCACATTGATCTCAATCATTCATAACAGTCAATCGCTGTTTCCCTTTATGGTTGGGGTCTAGCGACTTGTTTGCCATTCAGTCATACCCCAAGAGACTCAAAAACTTTCTTGTTTTTTGTATTCTCAGATAAAGAGGTGATAGCCAGCTATATACCAACTATTAGGTTTCTTTGAAAATCTAGTAGGTTGGCTGTCTTGCCCATCTTGAATGTAACTAGTTCGCAGCAGGATAATTAAACCTTTATATAGAACTGAGTACATCACATGATGATATACATTTACATAACCAACTAGAAAGTTATACTAGGTACAGTTCAATAAGCCACAGGGAATAATACAGGGCTATTATGATCCAGTGTTTCTACTTTTTCTTCCAACTCTTATATATGAACATTAAAATTATAGTAAATAACATTTTTAATAGTACTTTTAAAATTATGTAACATCTAAAAGAAAGGAAATACAAATATATATGTTTATGTGTGTGTGTCTTGAATTTATGTGAAGTCTTGAAACATTATATGTAATGCAGAACATACTGATATCATATTTAGTAACAAAACTCTTGTATGGTATAAATGTTTTCTGACATGAGCTAATTATATTTTACATTCAAGTTTTAACATAAAAATAAAAAATGCTGGAAAGCAGGATAACCTTCATTGCTTCATTGGAATAAAATAATATAAAAGTAGTTTTATAAAAATATTAAACTAGAACTTAAAGTTCCGAATTTTATGTTTGCAATGAGAAATCTATACAGATTTAAAAATTCTATACTAACCTCTTATATATGAAATGTATATGACAATATATATATATATATATATATTGATGGCATAGTTGAAATAACTATTAATTTCATCCTTCCAGAACTAGTTTAGAATACATCTGTAATAAGGTATATTCAGGTAATGTTTCTAAATTCTCATGCAGGTGTTTTGTATATAGTTATAACATCCACATTAACCAAATATCCAAATGCCATAAACATGTACAAATCCTTTTGCTTAGGTAAATTTTACATACAGCAATGGCTATCTCATAAAAGCTTGTATAGTTTCTCCATGTGCTTGTGTCAATTTCAAGGGGTGACACAAATACTTATACAAGTTGGTATGAGTAGGGGGGTACCTCTATTAACTCTATGATTCTAAATTTACCTAGTGTATCTTCACAAAATTTGGCAAGCTTTGAGTAAATACTATAGTCTGTTGTACACAAGAAAGCAGGATTTTAATGAAGTATTTTACTATAAATTTATATGTAAATTTACATTGGCTTTGTTAAGTCAATCTGAGTGAAAGGTGATTTTTCATGCTAAGAATAAAATAACTTCTTTTGACCTTATGCTTGTCATAATTCACTTGCATAACTTCTAGGACCTCCTACACAGAATATCAAGTTTTTTTGATAAAACTTCATATCTTACCCCTTTATCTTTTGTTTTTTTCTACCCTAATGCTAACTGTGGTGAAATCATCAATGTACAGTGAAAGGAAAAGTTGAAAAATATGAAATAAAATTAACAATACTTTTTTATTCTTCTTCTTTTTTGAATACATCAACTTGTGAGATTTCCAATTTTCTTATAATCACAATTCCAACTGTTAAACTTTCTATATGTGTTCTATTAATTTTATGGTTTTATTGTTTGTAACTTGGACCACCATCCTCTGTCAAAAACAAAAATTACAGCGAGAGCCCATTAGCCCTCTGTCATAAACACCATAAGCAAAGTGCATGACCCACATAATCTGTGTGAGTGCAAACAATAACTGTGTTAGGCCTCAAATTGTTCACTAAATTAGGTGTTCAAATAAAAATTCAAATAGCTTCCAAATATGCATTTTTGAACATAAAAATACATCATACAATGGAATAAAATGCTCCAAAAGTACTTTAATTTATCTGGTTTTCTAATTAAGTTAGCAATAAACAGGTTAAACAAAATCTATAAGCTCTCATAACAAAGAACTACAATCACCAAAACCAAATATTTCCATTAACAAACTGTTTACCTAGGAAATCTAAGGACAGCTCTCTATCATTTCTACAGAAAAAAAAGCTCTTTCTATTGGTTGTGAACATGTTCATCAGCCTTGTAAAGACAATTAGAAAAGAGTATAAAAAGACAGATAAAAAGGAGAGAGGCTTCTCTGGTAGGTTTGACAAATTTATTCATATCTCAGCAAATCATGAATAGGTTCTAATTTCAGATTTGTGCTTATAATTATATAGAGTTTTTGTTTCTGATTGCTTGAACACTGAAAGCCATATTAGGGAAGGTATAACATCTACAAGGGAGAATTCAGAATGCAGATGCATCACATGACTCAGAAAAGTGAAGATTGAGAACTTTTTCAAATATTTCTTTTTGAGCTTAATAAATTAAAATGTAGATAATATAAAAACTGAATTATAAACTATATTTTGATATCAAGTTTATTAACATACAATGCTAACAAGGTTATTTAATTATTTTGTTTTACCCACCATCATGTCCCGAGTTGAACAAAAAATGTGGCTAAGCTAACTAACGAGTGAATATTTGCTGTAAAATTCTTATAAATGCTATAAGTGTAGCTACCCTTTTTGGTAGCCGATTTTGTCTTCATTCCTTTAAGTCACATGCTCAGTCCTTTCTTGGCCACACCTTTTTTTCACCCCTAAGGTGTTTTTCATTAGATATATTATACCATTACAAATAAAGATATGTTTATTATATCTTTGCAGAAAGAGATACTGTTTTTCTATTGTTTCTTTTCTTCTTTCTTCTTCCAAACACTTTTCATTAATTTAAGTTTAGGTAGTGTCTTGTGAATCTTAGGACATTTTTATGGATGGAAAACTACTTGATGTATTTTCTTTTATTCTAATGACATTTTGGTCTCTATTCTGAGACCTTGTTCAGGTCAAACATACATTTTACAATGACATTACTAACTATATACAAGACACATGCACAAATTTTGATTTTAAAAAAGACCTAAGTATGCTTAAATAGACATATTTTTTACTAAATACAGAAGGATGAAATTAACAGTTTTGTCAATTTTGATGTTAGTAAATCAAAGACAACAATTATCTTGGTAAATAATTTCAAGAACAGAAATATTCAGTTACAGCAAACACAAGTTTGAGTAGTATCAGAAATATATACAGTTCACCCTTACTCTGATTGAGGATAAAATAGATCTGTTATATACATGTACATTACCGTTTGAGGTATCACATTTGAAGATTGTACAGCTACTGTTTAAGGAGCAACTAACAAACTAAAACATTCATAAACCAGTAATTGTATAAGTAAAGTGTACCTGAATTTGATATGAAATCAGAACTGACAGTATCAAAGACTATAACTATAAAAAAAATAACAGTGATCTATATGTAAAAAACCAGTGCCTTAAATGTACAAAATATGTAAAGCATTTTAAATATTTAAAATAGCATCAAATCTAAGATGTTTATAACAATTTTTTTCTGGGTTACATTAAAATACAACTTTTTGTTTTGATTAATAGAGTTAAAAAACACAAGATAAATTTGCCCATTAATGAAATGATGCATCACATGCTTTCCTTTGTGAAAGCTCTATTCCAGGCCTAAAAAAGAATTTTTAAAGATTACCATATTTTAAATTTTTACACAAAAAAAAATTATTTATTTTCCATGCTTTTATGTATGTCAACAAAGTGAATAAACCTTCAATACCTATTTTATATTATAAATAGATGAATATAGCATCAAGGTTGAAATATAAATGGAACAAAACTTACCTCCCACATTTATCACAGTCCTGTAAAACAAAATATTTTTGAAACACTTTTCACAGAATACAGCTACATGTTAAATACAAAACTCATAATTATTGCATAAAGATTACAATACTATCAAAAGTGCACAGATACCAAGAACAGTGACTGCTATATTTTACTGTTTATTCATTTTATTTATGTTTTAATAAATGCAGTTTTATTATCTTTTTTGTAAAATAGCATTATAAATATTAAAGTTAGCATTTTCCTTAACTGAAAATGTATTTCAGATAGATACTTACCTATCTGCATCATTAAAACTAAGAGAAACAGCCATGGAATTTCCTGCAGATGCCACAAGCTTTGAACAAACTCCTACCCCTACACACACATCTACGTGTATTGCATCAGCCTATGACATGATCATCATAATGTAGTAGTCCTCCACCGACAGGAGGGCAACACAACCTCTGTGCACAGAATCCCTGTGAGCACTAGTGCATGATCATAGGCTCATTCTTGAGGAGGCAAACAAAATACACTGTAAGTGAGAAGGAAGAAAGGGAGGTGGTGCAAAGAGGTAAGCATTTGCTTGAAACATGTTTTCAGGTAAGGAAAATGTTAATTCAGGAATGTTACTTACCTCTCTGCAATACTAAAAGCCACAATCTCACACTGAAGATGGTGGAGGGGCCAGTGCTTATCCATTACAAAGATAAGCTCCTTTCTGAAATAGCAATAGAAAGGGAAAGCCAATTGGGTGTGACTTCCACGAGACCAAGAGATGCCTATGGATCAGCACTCAGGGGTGATTACATCGGAATACTCTTCACCCAATAATTTTTTTTAGTACTGAGATCATTGAGCAAGTGATGTAAAGAAACTCCAGTGCTGGTGACAACATATTACCATGATGAGTGGAATGTTAGAATGCATAGTGTGGTTACTGTCTTAGGCCATTCTGTCTTGGTCAAATATGTACATGAAATAAATACTATAACAACAGGTGGAGGGAGAAGCTCACCAACTTCCCAAGGCAAATCCAAGTTCAATCTGGCTGGGCATTTCCAATGAGAAATGCTCAGAATATATTGGAACTGAGTGTTTTATACTACACTTGTAGGTAATACTCCAGCCCTACATCTCAAAGGAGGAGTGGGGCCAACAATTCACATACAGGAGGGAAGGCACCACTCACAGACAAAGCTCTCTATATCAACATACCCAGCGGCTTAGGACTGGGGAAGTAAAGGTTTCTCTCATGCTTCACTAAAAGAACAATTGGGGGGGGGGGGGAGAACATAAGGAATTGCATCCCTATTGAGAGTTCTATGACTAAAGACAGCAAGCACAAGCCAAATATAATGGCAGGACTAGACCTGGTGTTATCTGTTTTTTGTTTTCTAAAAGGTGCAGAAACTGTCATGTCAATTTTATAACTAAACACCCAAAACAATCATGCAGAAAACCACATTTCAGTGGTGAGCACTAAACAGGGGCAGATGGATTTAACACTTTCTATACTCCTTTGTTCAATGTGAATTTCAGGTAAGTATTCACTGTCAGGCAACTGATACTTAGTCACATACAATGGCATAATGAATGTAGTGTTTAGTTGCACGGAAGTTTTATTTTTTTGTTTCTTTGTGTCTTTATACATGTTTTGCCTCCTCCTGTTTTGTTTTTTTGTCAAATGTGTAGGAATCAAATTGTACACAAAAGGTAGTATCAATAAATGTGTGAGGGACATTGAGATCAAACTAGATTATCACAGTAGTTAGAAAAGAAAACCAACAGGCAAAACTCACCACACCAGAGCCTCTGGGTACACTAGAGAATGGTGACTGAAGGGAAGCAAAAGGCAGAGGCACATGAAACTGCCCAAAAATGTCAGCAATAGGAGAAGAATGTGGTAGAAGGCCAGATATCAACATCAGCCTGCAAGATTTCCACTGAAAGTCAACATCAAAAAGAAGCAAGAGAGGATGTGATATACTTAATCTGATAGGAGATGACATTAAAAAGTGGTTGGTTGGACTCCCCTCCCCTTTCAAAAAAATAAGCTACATAGATAAACTGACAAGCCCAACAGGTTAAGGTAAGTCTTAGGAAAAATAGGTAATGGCAGTGTCTACAAAAGGGGCAGTCAAAGCAGGATAGCAATAGACAGCCATAACTTGATGTAAAAGAAGATCAGGAATGGAACAATTGCACAATGAGGAAATAGAAGGAAGAGAGATGGGAGAAAAACAATTAATCACCTTTCCAGGCAATACAAGTCTTGGAAAAAAGGAGGAGTCAGGAAACAAAACACGTTCCTCATTATATAGAGGATGGGAGGTGATGAGGCATGAATGTTCATATGAAGATGACCACAAGCAAGTAGAAGGAAAAAAACAGCCAAAAGAAAGGGAATATTGCCAGGTAAGAGACAAAAGCTATGAATAAAACAGCTCATTAACCAACAATCACTGAAACAGATGGGACTATGACAAAAAGAAAGAGGAAAAACATAACTCTCAAAATTGGGTGCCTTCCTGATGGGTGAAGTAAGAAATGACCATGTAAGTGTCACAATGGAACATCAAGAGATAATCTGAAAACTGTGACCAAAGTATTAGACAAGCCCAAAAGGTTGTAAATATCTCCAAAATGTCCAAAAGCAGAGATTGCTCCACCAGATACCAGACTCCAGAGAGAGTGGAGGTATTATTACCCACCCCAACCCTCAAATGGAAAGGAAGGCATTGGTGTAAAGATTCAGGTTGGGTGGAGGGTTGGGGTAGAATACCCCAGATCATGTTGGAGCAATCGAATCACCATGACAAATAGAGGGAAAGATGAATAAAAAGGCAGGAAAGGAATCATAAGGCATGCACTAAAGATCTTCCAGAGCTCACTGAATGGAACTAGAACCTCACATGCAGGAAGAGAAGGAGAGTGAAGAGCCTACAACACCAGGATCTCCATAGGAGAAAATTGAGCCCAGTCAGTATGAGAAGAAGGAAAACTCACAAGATGATGTCAAAGATACAGAGGATCAGAGGGAAAATGGCAAGTGAGTGGATGAGGAGAAAGAGGAGGTGGTTAAACCTGAAGAAATAACTTACACAACCCAAGGGTTGCCATTGCAGGGAGACTATAGTGTGCAAGGGGGAAGATGCAGGCATCAAAGGTTCCAGAGCCAAGTATCAGCTATAAGGAAGAATTGACAATGAGTGTTTCAATGGCCTGCCCAGTGGTAGGGGGAACAGCAAGTAGAAATGATAAGACAAGGAACAGGAGAAGGGTTGCTTTGCATACTCCCAAAGTTGGGTAGCTAAGAGATGTACCCATGGTCTAGGAGGTTGGGAAACCAAGAAATCAAAAGAAGACTGATGGCAAGCAAACCCAGCCCAAGAAGCTAAGGAGTCGCAAACATCCACAAAACAGGTGCAATGAGAAAATGGCAAGACTTGGGTCAAGGAGAGAAGAGAAAGGGAAGCGTAAGCCTGAAAGAAAAGCATCCAGAATGAGGAGACCCCAAGAACAGAGAAAACAAGACAAAACAGTAGAGAATGATATAGAAGCCAAAAGTAGCAAAGAAAGAACAGATGGCCACATCAAAATATTCAGGGTTATGATGGAAAGTCACAGTGAGGAGGTGAAGGTGGATATGTAGTAATGGAGTAAACAAAAGACAAAGAGGAATAGATTACATGAAAGAAGGAGACAAAGGAGGAGAAAGGGGAGTGTTC